TCTGCAGTCCATCCAACTGCTCTCCAGCATACACGACAGGCATACAGATAATAGGCGAGAAGCAATAGAGACAAGATGAATCCGGCAATTGTCAATTGGAACGCTACTGTAATTATTTTCGATTTGCATATTTCAAATTTCATCTTCTATTGAAACATACAGTCTTCCCATCCAATATTAGACTTCGGAAAATATGAATGAGCCATGTCGTTGACAAATATGCTGATATAACGGGCTGACTCGGACCTACGATCCCATATTGAGTATCCAAAGCATACTACTGCTAGTAGACAGAAGAAAGCTTCTATTGACTGTAATGCTGGATCGTAAGAAAAATGGAATATATGTCACTAACCCGGAAGACTCCGAACAAAACACAGAAGAATGGCTGTCGATATTCCATTCCACAACACATTAAGACGGAGGCCAATAAGCTGAGACATTCGAAACCGGCTACGTAATACACTGGAAAATATTGAGCTGAATTGATTATACAGAAAACGTTTGAATCGAGAAGTCTGTGGGGAACGCTCTCAGAGGATGAAGAAGAGAGAATGCTCAATTACATCTGTTCAGAACAGAAATTTTCAAGTAAGATCGGATAAGTCGAATATGAAGGCAAAGAGAAATAGATGGATGAAGCTGTATAAGCTGATTGTAAGCTAATTCAAATCAAAACTATATGTATGACACATGTATCTCTGGAGAACAATTAGAAAACGATTAGAGAAGGAATAAGTAACAGACGGCGTTGTTTGGCTATCTGTTCCATGTTTCTTATTTCTCTGACCGTATCATAATTTGCATCGCATAACAAATGAACAGATTGTTGCTTTCATAACATGGTTAAGAACTTACTCAGATACATGTTATATCCAGCTTGATAGCCGAGAGCGATCAGAGTTAGAACTATCAAAGCCCTCAAAATGACAATAATATTCAAACAATAGATGGAAACCTTAAATTATGATCTTTCAATGTTTTCTCATGAAATTCTCTCTTACATTTGAATTACTGCGACATCTTGTCGGATGCTTTTCAGCTGTTGTGTCCATTCGACGTGGCCCATTACCAGACCAGGTTCCTGACCGCTGTTCGTAACCTCCATAATAATCGTTAAACTTAAAAGGGAATATATATGGTAAGAATGGAAGAATGTAAAAAAAAGAAGATGAAAACGATAATTCCATTTCTTTATTTCGAAAGAGGTTGAAGACATACCGCGCTCTGCTCATTGTAGTTGTGATATTCTGCCTGAAGCATGGGTGCTGACGGATGTGTCATGGCTGAAATAGGAAAAGATAGTCTTCTTCCAGAAAATGAAATGTTTTCATTTCAGAGTAAAATATGAACTTTGTTTGAAAAAAGAGAAAAAAAGAAAAGAAAAAGGAACGTGTGACAATGAACATAAACGAAGAATTCTAGGAAATGAACACAAATGACTCATGTCTGTCTTTGACCTTCGAAGAAGGACATCAGAATATCGACAAATGAAAATCGCAGAAAAAGCATAAGCTTCCCTTAAGCAATGTCTTTTTGGTGGAAATGCAGAAGTTGTATGGATAGATTATATGCGAAAACAAGATGGAACCTAACACGAAAATCCATTTATGGAATAAGGGAATGAAGAAGTTGAGAGTGAGCGAGAATAGAAGTAATTAATATGTAATTTGTATCGCAGAAAAACTTGCCATATGGAGAGGAAAAGCCAACCTAGGACGATAGAACGTGAAGAAAAAAGATGTGCTGTTGTATAAGAGGGAGAGAGTGAAGGAGTATGAGATAGAGAGAAATAAGAAGATGAAAAAGAAAGAGCCAGACAGAGAGAGAAAGGGAAAAATGAGAGGGATTGAATGAGAGGAAGAACAGATGGAACAAGGCAATTGATTGTCGCGTAGAGTAGAAGTAGAAATAAGAAATAAAGAAAGAGCAGAAGGTGCTGCGGCACAAGCCCAAGTCCAAGTCTTCAAATCTGTTCTTCAATGAATCTTCTTAGGCGATTATAAGTTGAAACAACACGGAATTATCTTGAAGAGAGGGAGAGATAGGAGTAAGAGAAGATGATGTCACATAAACATATGTAAAAGCTCACAACAGTAAGCAAGTGTAAATGGTGAGAAAATGGATTTAAAACATGAAAATGATGAGATTCTGGAGAGAATCACAACGAGAAAGATGACATTGACCTGAAAAATGGAGAAGACGAAATTCAAAGCCAACCCGTCAAATTTCAGTTTTTTATAATTCGAAATTTGTGATGCAACAGCTAAGTTAGCATTGCCATCTACGATTATTTCAATATGTATATGTGGAACGAAGAAGAAGAGAAAAAAAACGACAAAAATGCGAATGCAATGATGCTGCTGCATAGCCTGTATCAGCAGGATATCGACTTGCTGATTTGACCTATTCAGCAAAGAAAAAGTTTTATATGAAAGAAACAAGGGCATACTCCCAATGACATCTATTCATGAGCTTATTGTTTGTTAATGTTCTTTATTTGTCAACTGCTGTTGATAAAAGGAGAAAATGTGCCAGTAAAAGGTAAACGCAATCATATGTCATTTCCCTGTATTATAAGAGCTAAGATAATATTTTTTTTTTCAAAAATCATAGAGGAATTCGGCATCTCTAATTTGGAACTAACTCAAGTATTATCTGGTTCAATATCGTATATCATATGGCTGAAGACAAAAACAAAATGGAAAAGAAGATGGGTTAGAGGAGTTCGAAGGCTGATTCATAGAAGAATCAAACAAAAAGCGAATCAGAAGGTTTATGTGAATGATGGTAATGGAAGACAATGTTAATAATCAAATTCATTACTAAAGAATAGGAAAAAGCAAGCGAAGAAGAAAGCGAAAATGAAGAGACGAATAGCATCGTCGGCTTGGGTTGTCTATCCCTAACCATTGCGGTCACCAATATACACTGGCCTTTGGTGCCATAAATCGATAATACAGTGCATAAATACAACATATGATGAGTTGAAGAGAGAAAATGAAAGCAATAGGGTAGCATACGTGTATGCTAACATAAAATATAAAAAATAAATAAATATAATAATAAGTAAGGATAGTTGATAGTTCTTGTATTATCATGGTTGGGGGTGAATACGAGAAGGGTTAGCGTGCCATAAGGCAAACTGACTGCTAGCGGTTCGTATGTGTCATAACCTATGGTTATAGTTAATAAATTATTATGTTTACTAAAGGCATATGTATACATCTATATCTATGTATAGATATGTGAAAAACGTTTATGAGCCATCTCTATCGACCTGATTTATCAACATCAACAACCATATTCTAATTAGCATAGATAATCACGTGAACAATACGTGAGAATATATTATTTAATCATTTGATTTTGGATGAGAACCGGTTGCATTCAAGTTAGAGTTCAGAGAGATAGAGAAAGAGAATGAATGGCTAACTATATCAATTATATAAATAAAATAATTATTTTAAAGAAAATATATTTTGAATGGGAAATACTCATCATTTGAAATATTGAAAGGAGAGAGGGGACGAAGAGGGAGAGAAACAGAAATGAAAAGAGAGAGAGAGAGAGAGGGGATAAAGAGTTTAATGATGATTGTAGTGATTAGAGAAAGAATGATATAAAATGATTTTGACAAGATATTAGATTGGGATATATACTATGTGTTTACGTCATTTCTTATAGTAAATGAGAGACAAAGAGAGAGACAAGTTGTTAACAATACAGAGAAAGAGAGAGAGAGGGAGAGAGAGAGAGAGAAAGAGAAGGATGAATCGTTAAAGAGAACGATAGAGGATGAAAGGGAAAAGTAACAAAATAGTTTGAAGATGATAGAGAAAGAGCTGGATCAATATGTGTTTGAGATAAGAATCTCTGCTATAATATTAAGATATGAAAACGATTAGAAGATGTAATTATATTGTCCTAAACAAGATTATTGAGGAAACATCCTCATCAAACTCTGTTTGACATTCGACAAACGACAAAGGCCGATCATTAATGTAACTGATTATGGAGCAACAAATGAGCTTATGCAAGCTTGTTTAAAGATTTTTGCTATAAAAATCTCCTCTATAAGCTTTTGCTCCTTCTTTTTCTTCATCTGTCTTCATCATCATCATCAACATCATAACGTGAGAAAGAGACCAGAGACGAATAAGAGCGACATCCAAAAAGAATTGTTGAAAGAAATAAAAAAAAAGTATGAAAGAACGAAAAAGAGTTCTTCGTCGTCTTCTTTTTCTTCTTCTTCTTCTTCTTCTACTTCGTGTAATGGTCGTTATGAAGAGGATAAAGACTCAAGTCAAGTACACGAAATCGATGAAAATGAAAGTTAAGCTACAAGCCCTAACCTGAGGGTATATTAGGTGAAATGTAAACAGATGGAGACAAAAGAAGAACGTACATATGCTTCTGTTGGCATTACATAAGTTCAAATAGGCGAATATCAAATGATTTTATAAGAATAGTAAACTAGATGTATAAGAGACTCTCATATTGGAATATAATAGATTTTCGTTAGAAATATAGGAAGTGACGAAAAGAGAGTGTTTGAGAGAATGAGCTCGTATGGGGGGGACAAGCTTTAAGGGCTATATAGGATGATGGAAAAGTAGAAAGAAGGGGTTGGACATGTGGTCATAGCAGAAGTTAGAGGAGATTTAAAGAAGAAAGAGAAAGAGAAACAATATCATAAAGAGTTGGGGAGAGAGTGTAGATGATGGGTCAAAGAGGGATGTATGAAAGGAATTACAAGGAGTTATAGACACTTGTAACACATTGCCAACAACACATAGACACTCCTCCCCTCTTTTACATCCGTCTCTCGTTTTCTGTGATTATACAGCTTGATTCGCCCTGTTTTTCTTGCACAAATAGGAAATTGCCTTTACTCCGAAATAGAAGATTCCAGCTTGACATTTTCCAGGAAATACGATACGCCAAGTGTTTGACCATATAAAGGTTAAACCGTTTGAATGACAAACAGATGATGAACAGCAGATTAGACAAATGGACAGTTTCCAACGGAAAGATGAGAAGAAAAAGTGGCAAAAAAATAGAAGACAATGGATACGTAAGAATCTCATAAGAGAGAGGAGGGAATGAGAGATAGATAGAGAGGGATAGACGATGGATGAAAAAAAGAAACGAAGGAGGGATGAGTAAGAGAGCACAGCAGGCTCTTCACTTGGTCATTCGGCCTAATCCTCTACGGATTTTCTCCTTTCTGCATCCTAATTAGGAAAAAAGTCGTTAAAAGAAATGTTGTATAGACGAAAGATAGAAGATGAGTGAGATACAGCGAGAGAGAGAGGAAGAAAGAGGGTGAGAAAAGAGAGAGAGAGAAAGGGATTGAGAGAAAGATGTAACAAACGAGAAAAAAAAGTAGTCGAACACGCGAAGACGACGATAGTGATGACGACAGTTCTTGAAGAACGAAAAAGAGAGATTGAGAGGGAGTATGAAGGGAAGGAGAGAAAGCCAAAAGGAAATGAAAGTGAGAATGTTTCTCAAGATTTTCATCTGAAACTGAATATTCAATGCTTATATGTCTTGAAATCTGTGAAAATAGTAACAGAATGCCTATAAATAGCTTTGAACTCTTGAATGTGAAAGACAACCTCAAATGGGATTTAGATTGTTCGAGAACTTTGGCACATAATACGTGGAAAATGCAGTTTTCAGTTCTCTAATTTGAAAGGAGAAAATGAAATATTCACATGGTTTAAGGTCGTTTGTCATACAAGAAGGCAATTACAAACTCAATTTCATGTCATTAGCTCTGACAATTCGAAAAGAAACATTCACAAAGTTTTTATATAAAATTAAATGAAATTTTCGTGCGAAAATATTAAATTTTCAAACAAAATTGTTTTCGAGGTAAAAGAAGGAGGGTATAGAGATAGAGAGAGAGAGAGAAGTAGAGAGAGAGAGAGTGAAGAAGAGACACGAACGACAAACTACAAACTGAATGAGATAGAGAGGGTAGGAGGATGGGAGAAAAAAATTTTATTTGTTTTCTTTTCGACGCAAACAGCCGAAGAAGTAGTCGGAACGATGTTAAAGCATGAGGAAAGTAACATCAAGGTCACTCAAAGAAGCTCAATTGTTTATTCAATGTTATATATGGTTAATATTTACAATAATAATAATAATAGAAGATAAAGGACTTTCAACTGAAATCTCAAAGAGATAGAGCTTCTAGCAAGTGTTACTTCATCTATCCTTTCTCACCAAAAGCTTTATGGATTACTTTTTTCAAGTTTTTAAAAAGAAAGAAT